TTTGGATGCAGTTTGCTGTTTTATTAATGATTTTAGCATCAGTGACATTAGTATATAGTTTTTTCTTTTTTGTGATATTTTTGTCTAGTGATGCTAGATTTGTGGAATGAGTTTGAGAGCTTTCCTTCCTCTAAATTTTTTAGAATAATTTGAAAAGGATAGATATTAACTCTTCTCAGAATCGTTGGTAGAATTCACCTGTGAAGCTATTTGGTCCTTGACTTGAGTTTTGTTTTGTTATTGATTCAGTTTTGTTACTGGTAATTAGTCTGTTCATATTTAGTATTTCTTCCATGTTGAGAGATTATACATTTCTCAGAATTTGTCCATTTCTTCTAGCTTTTCCATCTTATTGGCATATAGTTGTTCAGAGCGATCTTTTATTGTCCTTTGTATTTCAGTGGTGTTGGTTGTAACCTCTCCTTTTCCATTTCTGATTTTATTGATTTAGACTCCCCTTCCCTTTTTTGTGATGAGTATGGCCAAAGGTTTATCAATTTTATTTATCTTTTCAAAGAACCAGCTGTGATTTTATTGATATTTTCTATTATTTTATATTGTTTGTCTTTATTTCATTTATTTCTTCTCTGATCTTTATGGTTTATTTTTTTTCTAGTAATTTTGGATTCTGGTCATTTTTCTTTTTTCAGTTCCTTTAGATATAAGGTTAGATTGGTTATTTGAGATTTTTCTGGTTTCCTGAAGTAGTCTTGCATATCACTATAAACTTCACTCTTAGAACTGCTTTTGCATCCCATAGGTTTTTGAATTACTGTGCTTTCATTTTTTTCCATTTAGTTTTTGATTTATTCTCAGATTTATTCAGGAATTCATTGGTTGTTTAGTAGTATATTGTTTAGCCTCCATGTGTTTGTGGGGTTTTTTTGAATTTTTTTCTTGCAGTTGATTGCTAATCTTAGACTATTCTGGTCAGAAAAGACGACTGATATAATTTCAGTCTTCTTAAAATTGAGACTTGTTTTGTGGCCTAGAATGTGATTTATCCTGGAGAATATTCCATGTGCACTTGAAAATAATGTACATTCCTTTGTTTTTGACTGAAGTGTTGATATATTTAACTCATCTGATCTAATATGTTACTTAAGGCCTCATTGATGTTCTGTGTGAATGATCTGCCCATTGATGTATGTGGGATGGTAATGTCCCCCTACTATTATTGTGTTGGTTACGATTCTTCACTGTCTGTTAACACTTGTTTTATGTATAGAAGTGTTACTGTGTTGAGTTCATATATATTTACAATTGTTATATCTTTTTAGATTGAGCCCTTGGTCATTAAGTAATGATCTTTGTCTCTTGTTTGCAGTTTTAAAATCTATTATGTATAAAAAATTATTGCTACTCCAGCTTTCCTTTTTGTTAATTTAAGTGTAGTTGATTTACAATATTTTATTAGTTTTAGGTGTAATACATTAAAAGTGAAAGTGAAGTTGCTCAGCCGTGTCCGACTCTTTGCAACCCCGTGGACTGTAGCCCACCAGGCTCCTCCATCCATCCTGGATTCTCCAGGCAAGAATACTGGAGTGGATTGCCATTTCTTTCTCCAGGGGATCTTCCCACCCCAGGGATCAAATCCATGTATCCCACATTGCAGGCAGATGCTTTAACCTCTGAACCACCAGGGAAGCCCAGTGATTCAGTATTTTTGCAGATGATTTTCTCCTCAAAGTTATCACAAAATAATGGCTGTATTTCCCTGTACTGTACACTACATTCATGTTGCTTTTCTATTTTACCCATAGTGATTTGTATCTCTTGCAACTGGCCAGCAGAGTCAGGTCCTGGGGTCTCTAGGTGCAGAGCCCAGGGGTTCCAGAGCTGCTTTGGGACCACTGGTAGAAGAACCCGATTCCTGACATAGCTAGCTGCAGAGTCTGTGGTGTTCTGAAGCTTGTTTCAGCCTAGTGATGAGTGGTGTCAGGTCCCAGGACAGCTGGCTGAATGGCCCAAGGTGTCTCAAAGCTCATGTTGGTCATCTGTTGAGTGGAGTTGAATCCCAGGGTGTCCTGTAACTGGTGCCTGCCTACTGGTAGGGGAGGCTGGCACTGAATCTAGAGCAGGCTGGATGGTAGGCCCAGGCCATAGGTCTCTGGCTACAGGGGCCTGGACATCCCAGGTCCAGTGTGTGCACACTAGTGTGTGAACTGAATCCTCAGTCCCCTGGTCGGCAGAGATGTATCCAGGGGCATCTGTGGGCTCAGGTTAAGACCAGGGAGTCTTATTTTCCTTCCCCATCACCTGTCCCTCTCTACTCTGCCTTTTGACTTTAGTTCCTCACTGCTTCTCTCTTTGGTTCTATAAAAGAACCTGGCATTCAGATCCCAACAGATGGTTATTGTGCGACATTAGTCTGCTGTCTTCTCAGACAGTTTTCTGAATCCAGTCTTATCCTTGGCTTGACAACAACAACAATAAAATCCAGGGAGTCTTAAGGCAGTCTGCTTCCTTATGAGCTCTGTCCTCACCCAATTAGTTGTTTGTTCTAAGACATCCCAGCACTGGCATCTATAGGTTGTTGAGTTAGTGGTCTGGGTTCTAGGGCTGATAAGCTAGAGAGGATTCCAGAGCTGTACTTGTCAGCACCAGTGTCCACACGGTAGAATGAGCTGCCCATCATGGCTGCTGCCAGTGTCTGTGTCCCCAGGGTGAGGTCTACCTGCCTCCTTATTCTCTGAGAGACTCCCCAAGATCAGCAGGTGGGTCTGCTTCAGGCTCCTTTCAAATTACTGCTTCTATCCTGGGTGCTAGATCATGTGAGTCTTTGTGGGTGCCCTTTAAGTGCAGAGTCTCTATTTCCCACAGCCCTGTGGGTCTCCTGAAAGTGATCCCCACTAGCCTTCAAAGCCAAATATTTTAGGGGCTCATCTTTCAGGTGCAGGATCCCAGGGCTTGGTCCCTTGTCTCTTGGGAGAACTTCTGCAATTGTAACTATTCTCCCCTTTGTGGGTTGCCCACAAAGATATAAGATAAGATTTGACTGTACATCATCTCCCTTCTCCATTCCACCTACCTGTCATTGTGATTCTCTCTTTATATCTCTAGTTGTAGAAGAGCCCTTCTGTTAGTTTTCATTGGTAGGTGTTCTATAAATAGTTGTGATTCTGATGTATCTAGGAAAGCAAGTGAGTTCAAGGTCTTCCTGCTTCACCATCTTGGCCCAGGAAGTGCTTGCTTTTCTTTTCTTGCAGATAAAAATAATAATGTTTATTGTCTTAAAAAACAAAGAGTAGAAGAATCTATAAAGAAGAGAATAAAAATCACCCTAGTGGCACAAAGCAGAGGTAACTATTAATATTACTGCTACTGCTACTATTACTGCTTTACGCACAGAGAGTAATGTGTGATGCACTTAGGGATGAATGGGTTCTTTCTACACACAGCATATTCTCCTATTTTAAAACACTTTACAAATTATACTATAATACATGTTTATTTTAAGAACTGAAGAACATCGAATATACTGAAGAAAATAAAATTGTCCATAGTCATAGAATACATAGATTATTTACTTTTATTTTTCTGATTTGTTTTCTTTCATTAGTTCTTCTGAGACTCATAGGTAGATTTAGACACAGGTAGATAGGTGGATGATTAGGTAGACAGACTTAAATATTTTTTTGTTTTAATTATGCCATAGATATACAGCATGCAAAAAAAATATTTAAGTCTGTCTACCTAATCATCCACCTATCTACCTGTGTCTAAATCTACCTATGAGTCTCAGAAGAACTAATGAAAGAAAACAAATCAGAAAAATAAAAGTAAATAATCTATGTATTCTATGACTATGGACAATTTTATTTTCTTCAGTATATTCGATGTTTTTCAATTCACAACACTCAGTTGTGTCTGACTCTCTATGACCCCATGGACTGTAGCCTGCCAGGCTCCTCTGTCCATGGAATTTTCCAGGCAAAAACACTGGAAAGTGAAGTCGCTCAGTCGTGTCCGACTCTTTGCAACCCCATGGACTAATGTAGCCTACCAGGCTCCTCCGTCCATGGGATTCCCCAGGCAAGAATACTGGAGTGGGTTGCCATTTCCTTCTCCAGGGTATCTTCCCAACCCAGGGATCAAACCCAGGTCTCCCGCATTCCAAGCAGATGCTTTAACCTAGTGGGTTGCTATTTCCTCCAACAGGCAGTATTCCCAACCTAGAGATTAAACCCACATCTCTTGCATCTGCTGCATTGGCAGGCGAATTCTTTACCACTGTGCCACCTGGAAAGCCCACCATAGATATGCAGGGTATACCAATAAAAGCATATGCCTTTCAGACAGTAATCAAACAAAAATACAGGCAACTATGAGATGTGTCATCAACAATTTATTAGTGGCCCTTATGAAAACTTGTAGCTTTACAGTAATAAAAACAGGTATTCATTAACATTTATTCACTAAATTTGTTAAATAATTGTATCTTTTTATATCATGAGAGCTTTCCTATAGTATAAACTAAAATCCATAAACTTGATTGTAATGGTTGGAGCATATTCCATTATATCTCTATGCTGTAATTTAGCCAGTTCTCTATTACTGGACATTTAGAATGTTTCTCTACTACTATGAATAGCACTACGCTGTACATCTTAGTGCTAAAACTATTCATCTCTGTTTATTTTCTTGGGATTCATTCTTAGCAGTGAAATCACTGGTCCCAGTGAAATGAACATATTTAAGACCCTTGTTATATATTACCAAATTGCCCTCCAGAAAGTTCTTTGTTGCTTGTAGGAAAAAAATAAAATAATCCTTGTTCTATTTATACACTTTAATCATTTTTATGCAGCTTTTCTTTGAACCTTTAAACTTCTTTTTGGTTTTAGGACTCAGAATTGTTTTTTAATAAATGTTTCTTTCAAGGGATTAGCAAAGTAATCATGTTGTTATAAATACCCAAACAATGTAACTCTTTTATTTTCTCTTAGTAAAGATCTGCAGATATAACACTTTTCACTGTATGAATTGTTTCTTTCTAGGGTGAACCAGGAGAGAAAGGAGATCCAGGTTTGTCAGGCGTTAATGGGCAAGATGTAAGCCTTTCTTTTTTCTAACATAGTGTTTACATTTGGCCACTGAAATATGGTTATTGTCTAATGCTACTGAGACTTGACTATGCTTGGAAGAACTAGCTGCAATTACTCAATTACTGCGAAGTAAGAATCAAGGTAGCTGTTTTGTGTGTGTGTGGCTCAGTAGAGGCCTAGTTTTTTTGTTTTTGTTTCTGTTTTGAAGGCCACTGACTTTATTGGTTTAAAAAGCTTTACAGACAGTGATTCTTCTGCCCAAAAGTGGGCAAATAGCATAAAACAGACCAGGGAACGGGGGGAGGATCGTGTGATCGTTGGTCAATTTCTGGTGCTAAAGAAAATTGAAGACGTTTTCCGGGGATGACTGAAGGACCCTGCTTGCCAGTGCCAAGCAGGCCCAATATTTCTACTGTCGAAACTACCAGGTAGTTCCCTGGCGTTATATACCTCCTATTATACTCATTCTTCACGGTCCTTTCTGCCTTGATATTCTGGCTTCCAGTTCTTCTCTCTTCCTTTCTGGGTCTTTTTACTTTTTACATATATGCTGCTGTGACCTGTGTTATGAGCCAGGCTTACCCCCAGTCTCGATCTGCTGAGGGGTCTGTCGAAGTCGTATCTCAGGGATGAAAAGGAAAAAGGGAGGGGACCCTGTATATCTGTGTCACTCCCCCTCCATTGCACCTGTTCCCCAAGCTCAGGGCTCCTGTCCCAGGTAACGTCAAGTCCTCCCTCCTGCCCCCTCCCCCAAGGCAATTATCCCCCCAGAACTTTACTTGTGTTCTTATGATGGAATTTGGAGGGTAGATAAAATCTGGGTTTTCCTCTAAATGTAGATTACTCTCCTTTCAGGCCATAACATTCACCATTTACAGTAGATATACTCCTTGTTAAGGCAAGTATCACAGGAGAATTATTTTTTCCCATGGTTTCCCTTCTTCACCTCATAAAAAATATTTTAAGAAGGTTCTGAAGGGCCATACTACTTACTTTTTGGACAGAGGAATAAGGAATAAGCTAGATCGGGTTCCCTAATGCCCAGATGTTGTAAAATCCATCTGGTCTGCAGCACAGTGGGAAGGGAGGCTGAACACTGTAGTCCTGGGGCTTGTGAACAAAGTAGGACCTGGAGGGTTTGTTGTTGGGTTCCTAATTCGTGTCTGTTCTTTGTGACCCTATGGCCTGCAGCAGGCCGGGCTTCCCTGTCCTTCACTGTCTCCCAGAGTTCGCTCAAGTTCATGTCTGGTGAGTCAGTGATGCCATCCAACCGTCTCATCCTCTGTCGTCCCCTTCTCCTCCTGCCTTCAATCTTTCCCAGCATCAGGGTCTTTTCCAGTGAGTCAACTCTTCACATCAGGTGGCCCTAATTGGAGCTTCAGCTTTAGCACCAGTCCTTCCACTGAATATTTAAGGTTAATTTCCTTTAAGATTGACTGGTTAAATCTCCTACTGTCAAGGGACTCTCAAGAGTCTTCTCCAGCACCAGAATTCAAAAGCATCAATTCTTCAGTGCTCAGCCTTCTTTATGGTACAACTCTCACACATCCATACATGACTCCTGGAAATACCATGCCTTTGACTGTAAAGACCTTTGTCAGCAAAATGATGTCTCTGCTTTTTAATACTCTGTCTAGATTTATCATAGTTTTCCTTCCCCTGGAGAGGGAGGGGTCCAAAGAGAAATATCCCAGAAGCTAACCCTACTAATTCACCCAAGCTTGAGGCTCTAGCCCCCACAGATTTCTTCTCTTGCTTCCTAAGAAGCCCTATTTGCACCTTTAACATGACACGCTTCTTGTTCCTATCTTCTTAGAAAGGATTTTTCTCCACCAGAGAGAGGGAGTTAGAACCAGTGTCTTGGAGCTAGGGGAGTCTGCATCTTCTCTGCCTCCTTACAGGACAATAGGGTACTGAATGGCCATTGGCCATTGGCCCTTACAGGTAATAGAGCTACTACTTCCCCACTACCCTGTCACTGGAGATACCTGGAGTAGTGGTCAGAGTTCTTCGGTGGGAAGCAGAGCTCAATGTGTGTCCCAGTTCTGTCACTTGTTGAGAAAATCACTTCTGAGAACCTGTTGGGTTCTGAAGTCCCCATCACTGCAGTGTCCTTTCATCCAATACAAAGAGATCATTAAGATTGATTAGGATTAGAGTTTGAAAGTATGATGAAATTTGAAGCCTTCATTCAGGCTTTTGGAACTCTAGTTGCTTGCAGGGAAAACACAATGAGAGTCCAGCTGGAGTTGGGCATGGACAGTGCTCTGTGGGTGGAGGTACGCCCTTGCTCCTCTGAAGCGGGGCATGTGGCTCATGCGGTGTCTACATGAAGACTGCTTTTGCAGTGTGTTCTACAAAATGGACAGAACTGAAGCTTTTGCCTGTGACTCTGTTCTTTCTATCATATTCTTTATGACCATTTCTTGGAATTGCTAGTGTTAGTAAATGTTTGGAGTAAGTAGTAGTTATTTGCTAAATTTTCGTGTTAAAAATTAAGAGATTATTATAATCGTCTAAAATACAAGGAATTAGAACCTAAACCAGGAAAACAGATGGAAGAGAGTGCACAGTGATATTACAGAGGTTAAATATATGCAATTTACTGTTTGATTGTGGCAAAAACATAAAAAGTAGCCCAAGGTTTTGACCATTCATTATGTAAGGATGTTATCTTCTGATAAATGTAGGAGAGAGATTAACTCCAGTTGCAAAAAGTAAACAAGCTACATGTATGGTGACTCCCTGGGAGAGAGGAGCAAAACAAAGATTTCTAGAAGTTTGTTCAGATAGCATTAGAGAGAAATAGAGAAAGAATTTATCCAGACACTCAAATAAAACTCTGAGAAGGTTTGAGGGGGGATGCAGCCTGAGTTTAACTTAGAGATTTGGAAATTTTTTCTTTGGGGTCTGAAAGTAAGGTGATTTGACTTTTCAGAATTAATCAGTTGTACACACATATTTGCCTGCTTTTTACTTGCTCAGATCTAAAACTGTCTTGCTGAGAGCGCTCCCAGCTCTGACAATGATCTGGGAAGAGTCCTTCACATAGCCCCGCCGACAAGCATGTTATTCCTTCAGCACTATCACTGCCTCTTATAGCTCATTAGGAACATTATAAAGCATGACAAAGCACATTTTCTCATTTGATTACTTAGTTAACATGTAGTTGATATCATTTTCTTTTCCTTAATTTTGCGAAAGGTATTCAGGAGTCATGACTAAGGAGGAATAAGAAAAAGTAATGACAGTTTTCTTTTTCCCTTCTATTTTAAAAGTACTTTGCTATTGTTCAATTACTCAGAATGTCCAGCTCTTTGCTATCCCATGGAAAAGAGATCCCATGGCAAAACATCAGGCTTCCCTGTCCTTCACTATCTCCCAGAGTTTGCTGAAACATGTCCATGGAGTTGGTGATGCCATCCAGCCATCTCATTCTCTGTCACCCCCTTCTCTTCCTGCCCTCAACTTTTCCCAGCATCAGGGTCTTTTCCAATGTGTTGGCCCTTTGCATTAAGTGGCCAAAATATTGGAGCTTCAGCTTCAACACCAGTCTTTCCAATGAATACTCAGGGTTGATTTCCTTTAGGATTGACTGGTTTGATCTCTTTGGTATCCAAGGGACTCTCAAGAGCCTTTTCCAATGCCACTGTTCAAAAGCATCAATTCTTCAGCGCTCAGCTTTCTTTGTAGTCCAACTCTCACATCCATACATGACTACTGGAAAAAACATAGCTTTGATTATACAGACCTTTGTCAGCGAAGTGGTATCTCTGCTATTTAATACACTATCTAGCTGTGCCATAGCTTTTCTTCCAAGTAGCAAGTGTCTTTTAATTTCATAGTTGCAGTCACCATCCAGTGATTTTGGAGCCACCAAAAATAAAGTCTGTCACTGTTTCCACTATTTCCCCATCTATTTGCCATGAAATGGTGGGACTGGTTGCCATGTTCTTAGTTTTTTGAATATTGAGTAGGGGTAAAGAATCATATGCTGTTATTTATTCCACTGATGGTGGTGGTGGTTTTAAATATTTTGCCATACTTCAAAAACTGGTTTCATGAGGAATTTGAAATTCGATCCTTACCTCAACATTATGGGCTAGAAAGTGCAGGCGGTGAGAGTATCCCTGTTTTTAGAGTAAGAAACAGAGCTTAAGAAAGTAAGAAATTTTCTTTCAGAAAATGGTGAGGTGAATCTTTATCCCTTGTTTGACCAAAAAGTCCATTTCCCCACTAAGTCACACCACATTTCTCATTGTCTGTTTTTCAATGCTAAAATAAACTGACTCCACAAACCAAAATCACTCAGCATTTATGACAGTTCACTCTGCCTTTCAGTAAGTGTAGGTGCACATTCTTAGGGAATGAAAGGCAATACAATAGCTATCTCAGTCTGTACTGAAGTCAAGCCATGATGGAGATCATAATTTCAGGAATATTCTGTTGGAGCACAGACTGAATAACCTCAATACGTCAGCTCGCTGCAGCTACTTAACACCTCAGAGAAAATTAAAAGAAATTAATATTCCCATGAAATGAATTCAGAGTCTTTTTATGGCCTTTATTCTTATATATTAAACATATATTGATATAAATGTACCTTTTGGTAATCATTTCTTCTGTGCCAGCTTTAATACATAGTGGACAAGCTCACTTTGGAAAATGTAAACCTCCTTTAGTTTACATCCTTCCCTCCTTTAAAGGGAAGTATGCAGCAGTTCAGCTTTCTTAATGGGACACTCTTGCATTTTGGTCAAGATGGTACTCTGCCTCATGGGACTGTCTTACAAGAGCAGAATGTATAGCATCCTTCGTGCTCAGCGGTAACAACTCTTAATCATTAGGGCAAAAAAACTGCTTTGATATCTTACTCAATGCACTCTTGACTCTGTGTGTGTGTGTGTGTGTGTGTGTGTGTGTGTGTGTAAGAACTTTGATCCTCATGGCACTGGGGTATTGGACTCATATTTACCTTATAGTTTAAATAATGAATATCACACATA